CCCCCTCCCTCCCTCTCCCCCCTCCGAGCCCGCCCATCCCCGGCCCCTTTCAGACGTTATCTCTAGCGCCTCCCCTCCTGCCTCTTCCTCTTCGGCTCCCCTGCCCTCCTCACCTCCGACCCCCTCTCAACCTCTTCCATCCGTTCCTGTCCCCGCCCCTTCCTTGCACCTCACTCGTTCCATGACTCAAGCACTCTCCAATTTTCAGCACTCTGCTCTTTTCACACGCCTCTCTCCATCCCAAAATCCTGATATTCCTGAAGATCGCTTGTAAGAGCTCTCCTCTATTCATCCTGTCTCTCCTCTCCTCTGTGTCAACATTGGCGACTTCGGAAATTCTCCCACTCTTCTCTCTGTTGACACCGCTACTATTCCCACCCCTCAGTCCTATTCCAAGGCCGTGTCGGGCTTTCGTGCCATTGAGTGGATGGCTGCCATCATTGCTGAGTGTGAGGCATTCATTCGTACTAATTCATGCGTCGACTCTGTCCCCCCCCTTGGTGCCACCATTGTTAAAGGCAAATGGGTCTTTTGTACCAAGCCCGGCGAGCTTCATGTCTTCAAAGCCCGTTATTGCGCCAAGGGCTTCTCCACCGTGAAGGCAATTACAATTTTGCCACTTACTCCCCCACAGCCCATCTCCCCACTCTCCGCATCCTTCTTAACCTAGGTGCTCGCTGGAATTGGGAGATCCATTCCATGGATATCTCCAGTGCCTTCCTTCAGGGCGAGCTTCATGAGCGCATATTCCTTGAGCGCCCAGCTGGCTTTCCTCGCCCTTATCCTCCAGGCACTGTTTGGGAGTTGAAACGACCTGAGTATGGCCTTAAGCAGGCCCCGCACGAGTGGCATGCCGAGCTCGCCTCCACTCTTCACTCTCTTGGCTTCTCCACCTCCACCTCCGACCCCAGTTTCTTCACTTCCCCCACAGGCTTAACATTCTTGCCTACGTGGACGACTTGGTGCTACTTGCTGTCACCGCATATGCACCTTATGCATATGCAATAACGGTAGGATGATGGTGTAGGGAGGGCTGGTAGTTGCAGTTATAGGAACATTAGATGATTATAAGAAGTACTAGTTAAGAATAGTTGTAGGTGTAGAACGTAGGAAAGTTACTGTTAGGGAGGGGTGTAGAAGGGGGGAAATTAGATAGGAGCGGTTGGGATTGTGAGGGAAAGGGCACCGAAGGGCGAAATGTGAAGCCAAAGAAATCCCAACCCCGAGCCGCACATTTGGGAATGTGCAGCCTGGGGTTGGGTAAGGTCAGTCACAGCCAACCCGTCGATGCTTTCGTAGTGTTATTCTCTCTTAGTCGTGAAAGTTGTCATCTAAGCTTCTAGTATTCTGTGGCACACACCAGGAGGGAACCTGTGGGGTGAGGGAGGAATCCCGTTCATAACACCACGAAAGCATCGAGCGGTTCGAGAGAGTAGCTTAGGATGGATAAGTATGAACTGCGGTGGGGCAGAGTGTTCAGTCGACGAGAGGAGGACGGGCCGGGGGAGAATCGCACGCAGGAACGCGGACGGTCAGTGGAGCGCCGATCTCCCGGGAGGCCCGTTTTCCGCGCGGATCGGGTCCCCCTTGAGCCGATCCGACGAGACGGAGGTTCCGGCCACGGCGGAATGAACGATGAAAGGCGCAATGCGGCGACGGGCGGTGCGCCGTGGCGGCGGGATAAGTTCCACCTGAGCGGCGGGCCGTACTACTCACCAGAGGCGGCGGCGTGATGAGCGAAGCCGCTGGAGGGGACGCGACGAGCTTGGAGGAGGCGAAGCTGCTGGCGGAAGGCACGCCGGTGAAAGCTCGCGGGCCGGGACGACGCTGGAGAATGAAGTCGAGGGTGCGGCGGAGGAGAACGAGCCCATCCTCGAGCAGGCAGGAGAAAGTCCGGATGAGCCGGACGGAGCAGAGGAGGGAGGATCCGCACCGATCCACGAGGCGGCCGACTCGCATGACGAGGTAGAGGACTCGCACCGATCCTCGGAGGACGAGGGGGCGGCGGAGCGGGAATCACGGCGGGACGACCCCGACCGTCAGGAGGGACATCGCACAAGCCGGACGGCGCAGCAAGATCGACCGGCGCGGTTGGACGACGTGCGCGAACTACAGTTGCAGGGATCGCGCGGGAGAGAAGAGACTGAGCGCTCGCGTACGTCGGATGAGCTGCGTCGCCAAGTGGAGCAGCGCGGCGCATGGCAGCAGGGAAAAGGGCGCGGGAACGAGCGACAGACCCCGCGCGGAGGAGGGCGACGGGGGGAATCCCGCTCGCCCGAGCGGCAGTGGCACCACAAAGGAGCGTCGCGCTCCCCTCGCCAGCAGAGGCGGTGGAGCCAGCGGCCCCGAGAGGAGTCGCGCTCGCCCGTCCGACGCCGAGAGCGCGAGGGAAGGCGGGACGAGGCGAGAGGCTCACCTGTCGGCCAGCGGGGGTACGGAAGGGGCGAAGGGGGATGGTCGCCATCCCCGGTGAGACGTACAACCTACGAGGCGCGGGGAGAGGGAGGAGGGAGAAGCCGCCACTCGCCGTCAAGGCACTGGGAGCGGACGGAGAGGGACGGCGGGCATTGGGGGTCGCGAGACAGGGGAAGGGAGAGCCACCGAGAGAGCGCGACCAGGAGCGGGGGCCTGGCGTATAGGGCGGAGAGGGCCCGCGAAGCAAGAGAGGGCTTGGACAAGGCTAACCGTGGGAGGTCATACGGGAGATCGGCCGGAAGGGCGAGCGACGCGTGGGGAGAAGGGAGAGGGGGCCCAACCGCAGCACCCAGGGTGGAGGTGCCGATGAGGTTTTCGGATGACCAGCGGGCGGGGCCCTCACTCAAGAATTACCTGATGCAGATCGGCAACGTGCGGTATCGCTGCGACAGGAGCGGCACCGACCCTGTTGACTTCTTCCTGAGCCTGCCCAACACACTGGAGGGGGAGGCGGAGACACTGTACCGCATGAGGATGGAGGAATTGCTGTGGAGGGCAGGGAGGTATGGGGAAGACCCCACCGAGGCCTTCTTAGAGAAACTGCAAAGGCAATTTCCTGGGCACACGACCGAGAAGGTTAGAGAGTTCCAGGAGTTCAGGAGGGGGAGAGAGGGGTCACTGCTCACGTACTACAATAGGTTGATCAATCTGGCGGAAGACGTGAAGTGCTCTGACGACAGCCTGCTCATTAGCAAGTTCTTGGGAGGGCTGGACGAGTCCCTGGGGGGAGGACTGAGAATGAGGGTGTATGAGCTGGGCGCAGAGGCAAGCTTGGAAGAGGTGTTTGACTTGGCAGAGAGGGTGGAGCTTGCCCAGCGGAAGTATGAGGCTTACATGCCCAGGCCTGCAGAAAGGAGCCGTCGGCCGACATGGGCTGCGGCAAGATACCAGAAGGGGCGGGGCGAGCAGAGGAGCGAAGGGAAGCTGGAGTTGACACCAGAACACGTCACAGGTGTGGACAGCCAGGACACCTGCGCAGAGACTGCAAGAATTGTGACGGCTGTGGGAAGCCAGGACACAGGAAACGGGAGTGCCCGGATGCAGCCAGGTGCGAGATCTGCAAGAAACGTGGGCACGAGACGAGGGACTGCTATCAGAGGGAGGGAGGGCCTAGGAGGCACCCAGAGGAGCTGCAGAGGCAAACCAGCAGGCTACAGGCGCAGCTGAGGGCAACAGGGCTGAAAGGAGGGGCTGAGGCAGGGATGTACGCGAGAGACGAGGAAGGGGAAGAGGTGGAGCAAGATGTGCAGTGCGCACTCATGGCATGGAGAGGGAGGGAAGAGATGGGGCTGAGGAGCAGGGGAAAGATGGCACGCAGGAACAGGAAAGGAAGGAAAGAGCCAAGGGAGAAGAGCCGGCTGAGCCCACCTTGGAACGAGCCCCCGCCCGCCATCCCCAGGAGAGGCCGGCGTGCCAGATGTCACAGCATATGCACCTAATGCATATGCCATAACAGTAGGGTAAGGGTATTGGCAGGGCTCTAGGTTGCTAGCACATGAAGAATAGCTGGATATAATAAGATAGAAGAGAAATAGCTGAAGGTGTAGAATGTGTAGAATGTAGCGAGGTGACTGTTTAGAATGGGGTGTAGAAGGGGGGGAAACGGGATAAGAGCGGTTGGGATAAAAAGGGGGAAAAAGACACCAAAGGGCGAAATGTGAAACCAGTCCATCCCAAACCCCGAGCCGCACATTTGGAAATGTGCAGCCTGGGGTTGGGTAAGGGCACTCACGTCCAACCCCTCGATGCTTTTGCGATTGTAATTCTCTCGAACTAGTGAAATCTGCTATCTTCGCTCTAGCACACTGAGGCACGTCACTAAGAGGGAACCTACGGGGTGAGGGACTAAGTTCTTTCATTACAATCGCAAAAGGGCCTCGAGCAGTAACGAGTAGAGTAGATATGGATAAGTACGAATTGCGTTGGGGTAGGATGTTCAGCCGCCGGGAGGAGGAACGGCCGCGACGCGAGCCATCACGTGAACGAGGGCGGTCATTGGAGCGATCGCCGCGCCGCCCGGCCTTTCGCGCGGATCGAATCCCTCTCGCACGGGACCGTCGAGACGAAGGATCGACGGGCGTGGGAGCAGGCGACGACGGGCACGGCGGCGGCATGGATAGAGACGCGTGGCTGCGAGGGAGAGCACGCGGACCTGGCGAGGACCGTGGAACCCGCCGCGACGCAGGAGTGTTCCGCTCTCCGGAAGAGCGAGAGCGGCGCCGGGATGAGAGAGGCCGTTGGCGAGGTTTCGCTCTTAGTGAGGGAAGGAGACATGGGTGGCGACGACCAAGTGGGGATCCTACAAGAGAACGCGGCACATGACGTGGCAGCGGAGCAAGGCGCGGAAGAAGAGGAGGAGCACCCGGGGCTGCAGGTCGAGGAGGCCGATGAAGGAAATGACGGCGACGACCAGGCAGCGGGAACGGGTGAGGCTGAACCCGCGCAGGCAGACGAGAGCGCTGGCGCGAGCCAGGCGGCAGCCGAAGAATCGAGGGCCGCGCCGTGGGAAATGCGCGACCGAGACGTCAGCCGTGGGGAAGAGCAGCGCGCGGAAGGCTCACTGCGCCAGGAGCGAGTGACGACAGCCGACGGTGTTCGAGCTGCACTGGCGCAGAGGCTGCATCATGATGGCAAGGGGAGGGTAGAGCGGTCGCGCACGCCGGAGAAGGATCCGCACCATGGGGAATGGCGCGTAGGCGACTTTCGCCCGCATGGTAGGCGACAGGAGCAGGACGGCTGGAGCGGCGGCGGCGTGCGTTTGCCAGAACAGCAGCGAGCGCGCAGTGGCAGAAGGAAGGATGAGTCGCGCTCACCTGAGCCGCACGGGCGCCAGGAAGGAAGGCACGGGGAGGAGCGGGGGTCACAGGAGCGCCGCGGTCAGCAGCACGGGGAACGCAGTGGCATGGGGCGCTCGCCGGGTCGGCCGAGGCGGAGAGAAGAGAGGGATGGTAGCGGGTCCCGCTCGCCCGAGTGGCGCCGCCAGCGGAGGGAGAAGTACGGAAGAGAAAGGCACTCGCCAGAGCGCCACCAGCAGCGCAGCAGGAGGGAAGGCACCTGGTCACCGTCACCAGAGAGGCGGCAGCAGCGCGACATCAGGAGGTGGGAAGGGCGGAGGACGCACGACCCGCCCACGCAGCAATGGGGACGGGCGGAAGAGTGGGTAGGGCCGAGGGAAAGGCGCCGCGGGGCGGAAGGGAGCCGCCAAGAGAGCAGAGCGGAGGGCGTAAGCCTGGTGTACGGCGCAGAACGGGCACGGGAGGCCAGAGAAGGCATGCAAAGGGCAAGGGAGAGAGGAGCTGAGAGACGCTGGCAGAGGGGAGCCAGTGAGGCATGGGGAGAGGGGCGAGGGGGTGCGGCCAGCACCCCGCGAGTGGAGGTGCCCGCCAGGTTCTCGGGAGATCAGCGCGCGGGGCCTACCCTCAAGAATTACCTGATGCAGGTGGGGAATGTGCGTTACCGCTGCGACAGGCACGATATGGACCCGGTGGACTTCTTTCTGAGCCTACCAAACACATTGGAGGGAGAGGCCGAGACCCTGTACCGCATGAGGATGGAGGAACTACTCTGGAGGGCAGGGAGGTACGGAGAAGACCCCACCGAGGCATTTCTGGAGAGACTGCAGCGGCAATTCCCAGGGCACACGGCGGAGCGCATAAGGGAATTCCAGGAATTTAGGAGGGGCCGGACGGAGTCACTACTGACCTACTACAACAGATTGATTAACGTGGCGGAAGACGTGAGATGCACGGAAAACAGCCTTCTCATCAGCAAGTTCCTAGGGGGCCTAGACGAGGCTCTTGGGGGGGGGTTGAGGATGAGAGTGTATGAGCTGGGCGCGGAGGCAAGCCTAGAAGAGGTGTTTGATCTGGCAGAAAGGGTGGAGCTCGCACAGAGGAAGTACGAGGCTTATCTGCCCAGGCCAACAGAGAGAAGCAGGAGGCCGACGTGGGCAGCGGCCATCATACCAGAGGGGGGAGGAAGAATAGAGGGGCGAGGGGAGACAGGACCTGACACCAGGACCTGTCACAGGTGTGGGCGGCCAGGACATCTACGCAGGGACTGCAAGAACTGTGACGGTTGCGGGAAGCCAGGGCATAGGAAACGGGAATGCCCAGATGCAGCCAGGTGTGAGATTTGCAAGAAACGAGGACACGAGGCAAAGGACTGCTACCAGAGAGAGGGAGGGCCTAAGAGGCACCCAGAGGAGCTGCAGCGGCAGATCAGCAGGCAACAGGCACAGCTGAGAGCAACAGGGCTAAGAGGGGAGGCCGAGGCAGGGATGTATGCCAGAGACGAAGAGGAGGAGGAGGTGGAGCAAGATGTGCAGTGTGCGCTCATGGCATGGAGAGGAAGAGAAGAAATGGGGCTGAGGAGCGGAGGGAAGGACGGCAGGCGGGAGCAGGGAAGGAAGGAACAAGCGAAGGGAGAGAAGCCAGCCGAGCCGGCCCTGGAACGAGCCCCAGCACGCCATCCCCAAGAAAGACTAGCATGCCAGACCTCAGTGCTGTTGCTAGAAAAGGGAGCAATGGAAGTGGAGGGAGAGAAGGTGAAGACTGCAATCATAGACACAGGAGCACAGAGTGTGATGCTAGGAAAGGGGATGGCTGAGAGGCTGGGGTTGCTAGCGCCAGAGAGGCATGTGGCCAAGGGGATGCTGGTAATGACGGCGGAGGGAGGGGAACCAAAGTGGATGCCATGCACCCGAACGCCCATAGAGGTGACGCTGCTGCCGGGGGGGGAGCATGAGACCAAGATCCGCATGAGGTGTGGGATTTCAGAGTCAGAGGACTTCGATGTGTTGGTGGGCACTGAGCTAGTGTTCGCGGTGGGAATGACCATATGCACTTGGACCGAGAAGGTCGAGTTTCAAACACGGTACTAGAAGAAGGAAGGGCCTTTGGGCGAGCTGCCGGTGCGATTTGTGAAGGTGGAGCCCAAGAGAGCATACCAGGCCGTGGGTGAACAGCTGCCTGGGGAGCAGCAAGCAGAGGAGCAGGGAAGAACAGCAGGGTCAGCAGCAGGACCCAGAATGAAGTGGTTGAACAAGCCAAGGCAGCAGAGTGATTGGCAGCAGCCCATCCACCTGGTGGAGCTGTTCGGGGGGATAGGGGCAGGTCTGTCAGCAGTGGTAAGGAGTGGAATAGCAGTGAAGAAGTGGACTTACGTGGAGAAGGAGCCGCAAGTGAGGAGGATGGCGGAGCATCATGCGAGGCAGCTACAAGCGGAGTTCCCAGACCTCCTGAGTGGGAAGGTGATTCAAGAAGCCATGGGTGGGAGCATCCATGACGTGCAGGAGACAGGAGAGGCAAAGGTGGCGAGCTGGGGGCAGGTGGATCTGCTGGTGGCAGGGTGGGAATGCCAAGGAGTGTCTTGGGCAGGCAAGGGGAGGGGAGGAGAGGATCCTAGGACAAGGTTGATGGAAGACCTGTTCCGCATCATGGAGTGGCTGCAGGAGAGGCAGGGCAGGGTGGCATACTTTCTAGAAAACCTGGATCTGGAAGGAGACAGCAGGGAGCCAATTGCGGAGATAACTTGTGCAACGGGAGCTAGACTGCGGGCTAGGCACGGGGCAAGAGTGATCGTAGCGTTCGTTCGTTCCTTAGTCGTTTCCAAGTGCTAACACTGCTTGCTAGTTCACGGGGAAAATCGGCAAGAGTTTCACTAGGAAAACATGATAACAAAAGTTCAGAATGATTACATCAACATTGGCAACACTGACTACATCCGACCTAGCAAGGCTGCTGGTCCACTGCCAGCGCAGCACGGTCGACCGCGTGCCAGCACGACTTGGTCGACCGCGCTCCAGCAGAGCAGAGTCGCGGTTTGCCAACGTTGCAAGTCCGCGGTGCGCCAACGCTGCAGTATGTCGGCTGCACAGCGTCGCATCCGCGGGACAACGGTGCACCAGCTTCGCAGGTGCGTGCAGCTGGTTGGCGCCCAACTCCCCGTCACATGCCCAGCGCAGACACTTCACCCGTGACGGCGCCCACCAGCCACGTCGACCTCGGGATACCACCCCCGAGGTCGTCCTCGCAGACAACATTCCCGGCGACTTTCGCGCACGTCGCCCGGGTATCCTGGTTGACCGGGTATTTCGCGGTCCTCCCGCGGTTTCTCGGCCACCGCGGTCCTCCCGCGGTTTCGTGGCTCCACGGTCCTCCGCGATTTCGTGGCTCCCACGGTCCACCGCGATTTCGTGGCTCCCACGGTCCACCGCGATTTCGTGGCTCCCACGGTCCACCACGATTTCGTGGCTCCCACGGTCCACCACGATTTCGTGGCTCCCACGGTCCACCACGATTTCGTGGCTCCCACGGTCGGCTCCGCCCAAGCGAGGACGGGGCCAAACAGAACTCCCGTTGACACTCCCCTGCCGCGTTCACGCTTGGGCCCCCCCCGGCCCACGCGGCAGAATTGCTCGGAGAATAGTCCGTCAGCGTGCACACAACGCACAGCACGCCGGTCACCGCACCAGCCATGCAGAAGGGCATGGCACCTACTGCTGCACGTCGTTGTCTCCGTTGCCCACATCGGCCAGGCGCACTTGACCGATTGCAACGGAGCACCGGTTGAAGGCCGGGTAGTGCAGCGCCTTCGTCAGGAAGTCGGCCGGCTGCTGCGGGCGGGATGTACTTCAGCGAAAACTTCCCGCACTTCACCATGTGCTGCAGCCAGGCCTGTCGCCGTTCCATGTGCTTGAGGTTGCCCGTTAACCCCATGCCCTCGCCGACCGTGATGGCCGACTTGTTGTCCACCCTGAGGACAGTCGGCTTCCTGGCGTCCAGCCGCTGGAACTCCGCGAGGAGGAAACGAAGGCGACGTCCCTCCTTGCCGGCTTCGACGGCCGCCACGTACTCCGACTCGATCAACGACAGCGTCGCGCACTTGATGCGCTGGCTCGACCAGGAGACCGCGGCCCCTCCGTAGACGAACACGTAGCCGCCCGTGCTCATCCGGTTCTGCTTGTCGCCCGCGTCGTCGGCGTCCACGAAGCCGACCAACTCCAGTGACTCCGGACCACCGCCGTACTCCAGAGCGGTGTCTCGCGTGTTGGCAAGGTAGGCGAGACAGCGGTCGACTTCGCGCCAGTGCTGGTCGTTCCTCACCGTGAGGCCGCTCCCCAGCTTGCTGCACGCGAATGCGATGTCCGGCCTCGTCGTCGTCGCCGCGAACTGCAGCGAGCCAACCTTCTGCCGGTACTCCTCCTCCTCGCGCTCTTGCGCCTCCTCGTCGTCGAATGTCTGCTCCGCGTAGGCGGCGACGGAGACCGGCGACTTCGGAGTGCGCCCGGTCTGCTCCTCGTCGATGAAGCGTCTGCGCAGCTTGTCAGCGTAGCCCTGCTGGTGCAGCCACAGTTTTCGCGCCGGCCTGTCGCGCACGATCTCCAGGCCGAGATACTTCTGCACCGGCGAAATTTCGCGCAGCTCGAAAGCGGCCTCCAGCAGCTTCTTCAGCTCCTTCAGCATCGTGGTGCTACTGCTCGCGGCGAGAAGGTCGTCGACGTAGACCAGCACCCAGCAGGTCACCTTGTCGTCTCCGGCCTTGAAGTACAAAGCCTCGTCGACTTGGCTCTTCTTCCACCCGGCGCCAACCAACACGTCGTTGAGAGCCGTGTACCACAGCAGCGGCGACTGCTTCGGCCCGTAGAGGCTCTTCAGCAGCTTGCACACCCGGCCAGTCCCGTCATTGAAGTAGTCCGGCTGGTACATGTACAGCACGCGGTCGAGCTTGCTCTGCAAAAAGGCATTTTTCATGTCCAGCTGCATCAGGTTGAGGTCGAGGACGGCGACGATGCTGAGGAAAATCCTCAGCGTGACGTAGCTGCTCACCGGCGCGTACGTCTCGTCGTAGTCAGCGCCATACACTTGCGTGAAGCCTTTTACGACCAGCCTCGCCTTTTCGCGCTCGACAGTGTCGTCGATGCGGTACTTCGTTGTCAGCACCCACCGGTTCTTCATTATGTTCACCCCCGGCGGGCGTTCGACCAGCTCCCAAGTGCCCATGTTGATGAGGCTACGAATCTCCTCCTCCATGGCGGCCTTCACCGCCGGGCCCTTCCAGCTCGCCAACGCCTCCTTCACCGTCATGGTCGAAATATCCCAACGGTGCTCGGGATCGGCGTGCATGTCGGGGTCGAGCTCCGAAAACTCCTCATCGTCCTCGGCGTCATCGTATGCCAGGTCGTCGTCGTCCACATCGTAGACCGTGGTGAAGGCAGCGGGGACGAAGAAGTCGGGTGGCCTCCGAATTCGGCCCGACTTCCGAGGTCCGGG